GATTTTTACCAAGATAAGTCTAGCCTAAAACCATGTAAATGCTCAAGGATGCAAAGCAGCTTATACACGTATACATCTTCACACGCCAATATACCTCATTAGCTACACAATTTTCCATTTTTGTTACTAATTTATTTAAATTTAGAGTCTATCGCAGTCATTTTAGTAGGGCGATTCTATAATATTCGAGATAATGTTAAAATTTGTTGAAGATTTTAGATTGAAGCATTTGTTATTCCAAAACTAATAAAATATAGGCAAACAGATCTTTACATGAACATTATAGTTATAATTTATGATAACTTCAGGTCGCAGATTTTCAAAGCTTGGGTGACGTTCCACCCAGGAGTTGGCCAATATTCTTCAACATAAGCTTACTTCAAGTTTGGTATCAACTTAAAATGGTTTACGATAGCTGCATATAGTTAATCGTTAGTTGCTATTTCTGCAACTAGTTTCGGTTCGTCTGAACCATCATCAGGCCTCAAGCTGTCAGGTGATCACTGCATTTGAAGGTCGTCAACAGAGTATATAAATAAAACATATACGACACACGAACGAGAAACGAATACATAATGGTTCTTATCAATTTCTAGTACTGTCTAGACTTTACTTCAGATCGGTCACGTTCCTTTTTGTCAATGTTTCTTTTGTGTATTTTTATGTATTCTATGTTTTCGTTCTAGCTAGTTTTTTTTTAATAGTTGCAGAAACAACAACAAAACAAAGGATTACTATATGCAGGTATTGTAAACCATTTATGTATAATACAGTAATCCGGAGGATAAACAACTCTTTGAAAATGAAGTTTGGTATCAAATTAAAGGTTTATTAAATCTATACTATAATATGAGTAACGTTTGCACACAATGATTAAAAAACCGGCTCCTATGATTTCCTGTAAATTGTTAGAAATGTCATAGTTTTAGGCTAAAACAATACGCATGATAGTGGCTATCAGTGGCTGTTCTGGGAAAAATGTCTTTCGTTAAAAACTAAAAATGAAATTTTAACGTTTTTAACATTAGTCTTATAGCAAGTAGCTATGGCAGTTTTAAGAAAGTATAAATAAATAAATTGTAACATATGCTTGTAACAAATCATCTACAGTACAAAGGCAAATTACTAAATATAGTACAAAATAAAAGGATAACCCTACGAATTCTATTTAGCATCGTTTATAAAATCCACTTGGGGTGTATTACAACTATTCAAAAAACGTAGAGTCTTTTACCTCAAAACAATATATACTAGACTAGGCCAATATTGTATTAAAACTCAAAAGGAACAGAGAAGGACGTTTTGTAGTTTTCAGTGATGTTAAATGAACGTTGTTTTAACGATGCGGAATGGGCGGGTTGTTCGATGATTCTAAAATAGAAACGGTATGGGCCATAAACATAAACAATAATAACCCGGAAATAAACATGTTTGTATTATTATTTCAATGCAACTGTGAAAAATTTCCAAAACACATGTAGGGATTATTAGTATAGATTCTATCCAGTGACGTCATTCTTTTATTATTATGATCCATACCGTGTCTGTTCTAATATCCGTTCCGCGATGCCAATGACTAACATGCTGCAACCAGAGAACACATTCGCAACTCGCAACAATGCTGGTCAACAGCTGATGTTAAATTGTATAGCGACATATGAGATTGTTATTGAAATTTATTTTAAATATTTATTTTCAATATAGACTGTTCGTCTGTATGGAAACGTTTGTTAAGTAAAGGTACGTTTTGCTTGGAGCGACAGGTGCGACTGTCGCTCCAAGCAAAACGTACCTTAAACTAAGAATGAAGAGAGGTCTACCGAAGAGAAATTGGTTTTACAGCTTAATTAAAAGTGGAAAAAATTAAAATGAAGATGATTTACACGTAAAACAAGTAGCTGTAAGGTATATGTTTTAATAGTTTAACTAAGAGTTCCAAATTAATAGTTTTATTTAGACTTATTCTAAATGTGATTCGTAATAAAAACTAACCTCTTCACACTCGTGTAAATCATATGCTATAGACTCTATCGTATTATAAGAAATAGACATTTGAAGCATAAAGTAAAAGCAATGCCGTTTTTGTCTCGCAAACTCGAAAACCACAGTCATCTTAGAGTATTCAGAGTGTTTATTTGGAGTTTTAGCACATTTCCCTATAAAGAAGTAGCTACTGTATTACCGTAGGTGGCATGGTAAGACCTGGGCCCGGGACCGATATACTTTTTCATTTTGATGTCCCTAGAGGCCAAAACCACTATTCGTGCAAATTTGCCTTACACCTTCAAGCCAAATATTATCGAAATCGGGCAAAAATTATTTAAGTTATCGCGTTCACGGACGTTTAGGGCCTATACAGTGTTAGTAAAAAGTCTGGAGACCCCCTGTTAATTTTTAACGGCCCACACTAGAAAAACTAAACTCTACTTTTTGGGGGACCTGGCAAAAGAAAACCAACAACGCAAACTAGAGGTATCTATCACAATCCAGTAAAAAATGGCAGCCGATTGAAATTCTCAGAAGTTAAATTAACTTACAGCTTTCCAAGTCTGGAGACCCCCTGTAAATTTTGTAACGGCTCATACTAGAAAAAATAAACTCTGCACACCTTTATGGCATGTTATGAAGTACTTTTTGGGCATAACCATCACTTGGTGTACATCCCCAAAATGGGGGATTTTGGGGGAAACTCAAAAATTTCAAACGGCAATACCCATCGAGTGACCCCTCATTTTGAAGTTCCTGAGAAAAGAAAACTAACAACTCAAACTAGAGGTCTCTATCTCAATCCATTAAAAAATGCAGCTGATTGAAATCTTTAGAAATCAGAATTAACTTGCAATTTTATATTAAATTGACTGCCATATTTTACTGTGTTAAAATAGAGACCTCTAGTTTGCATTGTTAGTTTTCTTTTATCACGCCCTTCAAATTGAGAGGTCACTCTATGGGGCTTACCGTTTGAAACTTTTGAGTTTCCCCCAAAATCCCCCATTTTGGGGATGTACACGAAGTGGTGGTTATGCCCAAAAAGTACTTCATCACATGCCATAAAGGTGTGCCGAGTTTAGTTTTTTTAGTACGAGCCGTTACCTTTAACTAACCCTACGTCCATAAACGCGATAAATTGGGTAATTTTTGTCCGATTTTGATAAAATTTGGCTTGAAGGTGTAAGATGCGATAAACTTGAACGAGTTCGCGAACCAGCATGATCGGACCATGGGAACGGAGGTTTATGAGGGGTTTTATGAGGGTTAAAATTGGGGTTTCTCAATGTTGACCCTTAAATCATAAATTTTCGAATTTCTCTTCAAACCGTTTTAAAAAGCACAAGAAAACAAATAATTTAGTATCTTGAAGAGTTTTTGTACGGTTATTGGCTACGGAGACTATTCAAAAAATTGTAAATTTAAAATTCCTTTGTTATTCTTATGGGGAATAAGTTAACAGTTGTAGTCTTGTTTATGTATATATTTTTATCAAACTTGGTAAATTTATTTATTTTATGCTAAGCTTTTAATATTTTGTTAAAAATACACATTTACCCTCCCTGTAGCAGCATACCTAGGTACTTGTTTCCCTAAAAAAATAGTTAATTATTCCGTAAAAATACAATCACGCTTTTAGTTAAAATATGGCCTGAACGTTATTAATTAACTCATTAACAATAATTAATGTAATCGATGTACATCACAACAATAAATTGAATTATTACAACTATATCAGTACAAAATAAGATAAATAAAGATAATTCTGCAAGCATCACTAATAATGATACGATAAAATTATTGATACTACAATCAACGCATTACAAGATTATCATTAAAAATATACTATTATCTACCATGATTGGATTGTTAGAATCAATCATCCTGTACCATTTGTACAAAAAGCTTTCAAGTTTTCCTGTTTTGCTCAGTCAAAGTTGTAAAAGACAAAGCAACGCTCAGCAACCAATCAGATGTTTAGTTTCTTGTACAGATTTGTTTATACCGAGGTTATATAAGGCAGTCTGCCACGCTGCTGTCTCTTTACAGTCAGTTGTTCATACAGTAAATTCAGGGCTTATCGCCATTTCGGGGGTTTTTGGTAACGATTAATAAAATATTTGAATAAGAAATATTTGAACAGATTAATGATTAGGAATTTTAGTTGTAACTATGTTGAAGTGGATTTAATTTTTAATATATAAATGTTGAAGTAAGATGAAGATCTATTTTTTACCTACTAAAATGAAAAGTAAATGAAAGATAAATTGTCCCTGGTAAGAAGTATAACAGGTAACAAAACAACAGTTTAGGTATAAACAAGGGTACAATCAAGGCCCCACAAGAAAAACAGGTCATGCTGCAGGATCCATGACGTCACACTAGTGGATAGATTTCATTGATAAATTCATTGCCATCACCATTTCCATATGTTTTAGGTAAATAAACAAGCTGGCTGTCTGTAAGATTTTAATGGTAAGAGTTTAGTACAACTATCCACCACTGTGACGTAGTGTTGCGCTGCCCGTGCTGCAGCATGGCCCGTTTTTTCTAGTGGGGCCTTGGTACAATCCACTACGACATAGTGTATAATGCCTTTAATCATCAATACAAACACCCTATTCCGTAGTATACATTATCACGTTATTTAATACCAATGAGAATTATATTTAAAGAGTATCGTAGCTGACCAAGGGGGTAAATTTCCGGCGGTAGAATTCCACTACCACAGCCCATATAGGCTAGTCAGTGAATAAAGTATTTATAGGCTTTTACACAATTCATGTTTTAAGAAAGTTGTTAATAAAAAAAACTGACTATGTAAATAGACACCACTAAATAAGTGTACAGGATTAGTAAAAACAGCTAAACAAATCATTAAACATAGTAAACATTCATATTTTAAGTTACTAATGTATCATACGTAGAAGGCTCATGCAAGATTACAAATTTATTATTAACAAGAATCATCATAGGTAATTAGTTTATGCAAGATATGATTTTTAACTTACTGTTTTGTCAGTTGTTGACGTTGTTGAAGAATGCTCCACTAGAAACAGACAAAACAGTTTCGTTTTAGAACGCAGAAGTAACATACAACTACAATGAATATGTTAATACAAGTAATCTTTAGTATACATGTGTTTACGATTTATACAGGGTGCAAAAAAAGTTCCAGTACAGTTAAATATTTCAAAAAATAACAAATATCGAGCTTAGGTACAAAGTTACTGGGTATAAAAACAGTTTAAAAACAATAACCAGTGATACTTTGATGTGCATATGCAACATATGCTTACCATACGTTTAAACTCCTAGCGGGCCAACCCCCCCCCCCCTCCCTGTAGAGGTAGCGCATTACTGAACAATGTGTTAAAATGATTCTAACGACAAGTTAATTTGGGCCAAGTTTTGTAGCTCCATCTGTATTACCTTTTGAAATATTTAACTGTCCCTGGACTCTTTCACCTAGCATAAAAATGCCCCATTTAAAAATTATTATTTATAACCAGACAGGTGTAATAGTAGCGAATTTGATTTGAATTAGTTAAATTTACAGACGTCGAACTTCATATTAAACATATAATTTCATAATAAAGCAGTATATCTCTAGAAATTAAGTTTAAACTAAACCTAAGTTCGATGGTATCAAATTTAATTTGATTGAACTATGGTTTAGGAAAACCTACCATATCTTTACACAGTATGTACAGTTGTACACATTATCTTGGTCACCATTATTGAGTAACATAAGAATAGGTTAAATTATTATACAGTAATATCATGTTATTGCATTCTTATGAGTATACAGGACGAGTTCTACTGATCGTGTTAACTTCACCAGTAGGTTCTACTCACTAAAAGGAACAAAAAAGTTCATATAAATCCATGTCCGATTTTCAACCGTTTGGCTGTAATAGGGGATTTTGTGTTTTTCTTATTTTATTAGACTTTGCTCCACAATTTATGTTATAAAAATTTAACCAATTACTTTAGAGAGTTATAGTTAAAATTATTGGAAAGAATATTAAATTTTCTATAAATCAAAGGTTTCATTCAACAATTATACCATAACATAGTCCACGTTATATCCAAAATAAAGTAAAAATTGCATTAAATTAATTAGTTACAATAATTTTCATGAGCCCATTTTCATACATAACCCTGCATCTATGCAATGTTGAAATGCATAAAAAACTTGGCCATTTAATAATCTTTCAAATGATATTGTATTCAATACTATTATTGATATAAACCTGTGAGAAATTACTAATAAACTACAATAAATAGTTTGTTCCCCGACACTGTTTTTTTTTAATACTGTTTTTTGATTACAGTATTATAATCAATGAAAGGGATGGTAATTCTTTAATATTGTTATCCTTTGTTCTATACACACACAATGTAACATAAATCGTGAAAAATAATTGTGCGCGCTATCTCAGATGTACAAATGCCTCGAAATTTGTCATAAACCGACCACATTACTGTCACTAAAAGAAGGAATGCCAATAATACTAATGTGAAACTTAGGTCCACCCAAGCTGTGCAACGGAACCAGACTGACTATAAAAAACATCGAAGGAACAATCATAAGTGATACGTTTGAAGTAGAAATAGTCCCAAGAATATCAACGATATCATCTAGTAAAAAAGGCAGACACCAACCAGTACAATAGACATAACATAATGCAATAAGAAATCATTAAAAGAGTTACTGTATTATTAAGACTATACAATTATTCGTAATGGAACGTTATATTGCTAAACATGACATTATACAGAAGAACATCAATTTTAACATAAGAAAATAAGATCCTTATATATAATTCTGTAAGACCAAATTTTTACCATGAAATTGTGGACGTCTAGAAAATATGAGTAGGCTAATTAATGTAATTTTCATGTTCTATTTTAAACTGTTGATTAAGAATTATAGACCACGATGGAGGATCAATAGTAAACACTCCATTGTAAATAGATACATTAGTAAAGATTAAGGTGTATGATAAACATTTAAAACACGTTGGTCCACTGAATTTGTATACAATCTGTATATTAGAAGGTTGCCAAATGTGATAAAACTGTTGATTTATAAGATTTCCAACCGTATGATACACTATTGAGCTTTAAGTCTGCTTATGTACGCTTTAGTGGTTTGAATACTACAAAACATGGTGTCTTTAACGTTTAAAACATAGAAAGTCGGCATGTTTAAAGCACAAATTGTACAGTATCAATATTATTATTGTATACGACGGCGGATATTTGAACGCCTTCAATGTGAGTGACGCAATAGTTTATACTGTTGGACCAAACGAACTCGTATTAAAGTGTTGGATAAAACGATTTTGGACCAAACGAACGAATTTTTAACTGTTGGACCAAACGATTTTGGGCCAAACGAACGAATTTTTAACTGTTTGACCAAACGATTTTGGACCAAACTAACGGCAATATAAACGTTGGACCAAACGATTTTGGAATGTAGGTCAATTTTGCTAAAAAGGCTAGCAGTAAGAACAAGATTATGGGGAAACTGTACGAATATCCCCGCCACAGAAAATCTGAAGACTAAGCGTATTTCCAATTACCTACTGGATTTATACTAAAATATTTCCTTAATATTGCCAGATTTATTTCCTTTAAATAACATTAATTCTAATTAGTTCTTAGGTTTGCTTCTACAGTGAAGGTAATGCGGTGTGTTTTTATTGAAATGTTGTTGCTTAGTATTAAATTAACAAAATTGCCAAATTTAATTTAAATACCCATACAAAAAGCATGGAAATTTAAATTTTATGGTGTTTTTACTATGAACGCAATATTATGCATAGAAAAACGCTTAAATATGATAAATTATTCCTTCTTTAGGCGTAAAAAAATGGTTTGAAAAGAAAAATTGAAAAATTTAATGTGTTTAGGGTTGAAAATGGAAAACCAAATTTTTATCCCATAAAACCCCCATAAACCCCGGTTCCCATTGTTCAATCATACTGGAAATTTACTCAACAATATGCATGTGTTTATATAAATAACTAAGCGAATATATTTGTGATACGTAATAAAATATGTAAACATTATTATGTGTAAAAATTTATTTTTATAAAACAAACCCTTATTTATTCTCTTCATATACGAGTCCTTCCAAAAAATTGTAAAACTCTAAATAAAAATTCATAAAACTTATTGCACTCAAAACATCTGTAATTATATGTCAATGGACTTTTAACAATTAGTTATAAATAATTATCGATAAAATATGTAAACAAGTTATTCAACTTACTTTTGTCCTAGCGGCGCCAAGACGTTGAGTGTGTTCTGTGGTAATCGGTACCTGCTACCGGCGAACTCCACCTATTGTAAGAGTGCAATCAACGGAGCAAAGTCGTAAGCAAAACTGCGGGATGAAGTGAGTGGGGAGTGGCTCGTTATTCATTTTATCGTTGTTTAGACTGCGACAATGCAGAGAAACACATAATCGCCATAATCACTGGTGGCACCTGCCAGTTAGCCAGCAGTTGACGTGAGAAGATCGTGGTCGTGGAGGTAATTAAGTTGGTTATTTGTGTATGTATATACTAATGTATGTATAAATGTGTTAAGATGCATTTTGAATAAATCTTATCTTAAATGAGTAAAATATAAATATTCAGACCATGAGTGCAAGCAGTGGGGTCCTGTGGAGAAATGAGCTAAATTTGGAGGGATCACACAGTTGTAGGTACACAGTTCTTGGGTCAAATATAAATGTCAGGTTACATCCAAACCATCACACAAATTGATGCTTTTAGAATGAAGAGCCGAAGTTAACAACCAGGCCTACGCACATACACCTCCCCATGTTGCCACATTCCATACGCATACCACATTTTTAACCCAAAAATTAAATTTTTTTCACTATATAGTTTGTTGACATAAATTAGTTAGATAAATAGACGTATTTCATATAATGATCTTGAACGTGAAATCTTAAAGTCAAACCCAATTAGAGACGTGGTGGTCGTGCAGGGGCGTCATTTGGGGGGGACAGGGGGGCATTTGCCCCCCCTGGATCCTGGGCTAGAGAAAAAAATATGCTATACTAGCTAATATACAAATATTTTCTCCTGTCAAATCCTAAAAAGCACAGCAGACAAAAATTTTTATATTCTTGTACAGTAATTTGAAACAAAAATTATTATTGTTTTATTGTCTTAGCACATTTTGAGTTTACATAGATTAGTAGTTTTGTTATTCATTTACTTTTCTGTTTGGTGCTGTACGATAAACTACTTACTTCTAGTTTATATATATATATATACATAAAAATTTAGATTTTTAGAAGCATTGCTTTGTCATTTACTTTTATGAATTATTCAAACATTAAAATTATACATGTGTATAAATTTTACGTAATTTATTTTGAACATTGTAGACTACCAATTTAATATAGTTAAATAGAACCTTTTGTACTTTTGTGTCAAATTATTTTATTGGTGATACAATTTGATTTGCTTTTAAGTTCTTATATACTTGTATTTTATTTAAAAACCAAAATAAACTGTTATAAACTATAGGCTATACACAACCGTATTCATTGCTAAATGTTGTACAAGAGAAATTGGTCATGAATCTAATAACAAACATAATATTAATACATCATAGAACTATTGATCACGTTTCTTAGATGACTAACTTACCAACATAAAATTATTGTGTTTCCGTCTGTTGTCAAAAATTCTTAGTTTCATTAACTTTCTGCCTAAATTTAAATAAATTTTACTCATAATTTTTTTTATTTTTATTTGAAGTGCTTTTGACAATTAAAATAAGCTTAAACCCCTCTTTTTTGTTTCAAAACTGCAAAATTTTCCGGGGGGGACCCCCGGACACCCCCTGTTTGCTGGGGGGTATTCCATACCCCCCATTCCCCCCGGTGTTTGCCCCGCCCCAAGGATTTGGTGAAATGACGCCACTGTGGTCGTGCTTACAAAAAGATGAACAATTTACTTAGTTATCAATCATTTCTAATGTGATCGAGCAATATAACTGGTTCCTCCACTGGCAAACGACTAGTCACTAATCGTTTGAACATCAATTTCTTTAACTGCTGAAGAAAACATCACTGTATTATATACGCTTTTACACAAGAGATTTTTACATTTGTTTTTATTTATGGTTTGTTTAGTTACCGTGATGTAACAATATTTTGAAAGTTGAGAGTAAAAACGTAGAATGCTTTACTGTGTGTTTAGCGTGGGGGGACGTAACATTCTTTATTAAAATAATAATAAATATGATTTTTTACTTTTGTCATGTATAGAACCATTTTCTAAAAGTTTTTTTTTTATATCTTGTGTTTGTAATAAAACATATTTTGTATTTTCCCAAGCCTCTACTTTGGAAAAATGTTACAGGCCCATTTTCCTTTTTTGTTCTTACAAGTAAACAGTTCTAAAAACAAAATTTGCGATCTTTCAATGATTTAAATTTGTTCCTTTAATGTCCTGAAAAAAAATATAATAGTATATACTTTTATATGGTAGAAAATAATTTATACAGCTCTAAAGTAACCTATATACATACAATAAAAAATGGACTGCCAGTACAGAGATTTGTAGCTGCCTGATGCAGAGTTAACCAATGTTTCAGACCGAAATCGATCTTATAATCTAACATATTTTACTCGAAGTTTACAGTTTTTTTTATAATCACAGTAGTTGATACATCGAAAAGTGTTGGAATGGGTAATTGATCATATTTATATAAGAGATAATACCACCACCGCAGCAAACCTGCAGACTAGGCGAATTTCGAAGCCATAATTTTAACTTACGGTACAACTATAATCAGTGATGAGAGTGTAAATGTAAAGTCCTTGAAATTGTGAAACGGGTACAGTGCTCCTAATGTTTACCATATACACCCGATACAACCTAGTTCCCATAGTCCGATCATACTTGTTCGCGCACTCGTAAGGAAAACGTAGGTTCACACATTTGTGCCAAATTTCGTCAAATCGGATCATTTGCTCGAGTTTTCAAGCTAACGGCCACATAAATAAATAAAAATATATATTTGTTGTCATGAATGCCGCTTTTGGTCTTTATGGTAATCAAAATTAAAATGCAATCGGTCCTGTAGGTCTAACCATGAGACCCGCGGTAATAGCTTATTCCCTGTATGGGAAATTGGCTAATACAAACCCCTAAAAAGCTATTGGAGAAGTTATATAACTTCTGTATTATAAGATAATTCTATTGAATCCAAAACCTACTATTCTATAAAGAAATTAAATCTGGATGTTATATCCAGGTAAAACAATTTCGGAATATTTTGAAACCTTAAATGTATTATTGGTTAATTCCTGTTTTAATTATAGGAAACGATAAATCAAATGGCCAATAGCACTGGCCTAACCTAAAATGTATATGTAATTTTACATTGTTGTAGAGTTAGTCAATCGTTAGTACCACTTTGGCCATCCCTTCTAAATCAACAAATTACAAACACAATCGAAATAAGAGTTGACGGTGGAAGTTTAAGTTTATTTAAGTGACAAAAAATTTATGAATTGGTTATTAGTAGATATCACTCTCCCTTTCAGTTCAAAATACGCAAGCCTAATAACCAACATGTAAGTTTATTTAAACAACCAATAACAACATTACAATTGATTTAATTCCGTGGACTAGTTGCATTTAACACATCTTCCCATAACTATTTCTGCAAATACTACTCGTATTCATTAAACTATATTAGTCATGATTTTTAATACGGCATCATACACAAGATTACAAAGCTTGTACAGCAAAGACCCTGGACTCTTTCACCTAGCATAAAAATGCCCCATTTAAAAATTATCATTTTATAACCGGATAGGTGTAATAGTAGCGAATTTGATTTGAATTATTTAAATTTACAGACGTCGAACTTCATATTAAACATATAATTTCATAATAAAGCAGTATATCTCTAGAGATTAAGTTTAAACTAAACATAAGTTCGAAGGTATCAAATTTAATTTGATTGAACTATGGTTTAGGAAAACCTAGCAAATTTTTACACAGTATGTACAGTTGTACACGTTATCTTTGCCACCATTATTGTGTAACATAAGAATAGGTTAAATTAATATACAGTAATATCATGTTATTGCATTCTTATGACTATACAGGATGAGTTTCTACTGATCGTGTTAACTTCGCCAGTAGTTTATACTCACTAAAAGGAACAAAAAAGTTCTTATGACCCATGTCCGATTTTCAACCGTTTGGCTGTAATAGGGGATTTTGTGTTTTTCTTATTTTATTAGACTTTGCTCCACAATTTATGTTATAAAAACTTAACCAATTACTTTAGAGAGTTATAGTTAAAATCATTGGAAAGAATATTAAATTTTCTATAAATCAAAGGTTTCATTCAACAATTATACCATAACATAGTCCACGTTATATCCAAAATAAAGTAAAAATTGTATTAAATTAATTAGTTACAATAATTTTCATGAGCCCATTTTCATACATAACCCAGCATCTATGCAATGTTGAAATGCATAAAAAACTTGGCCATTTAATAATCTTTCAAATGATATTGTATTCAATACCATTATTGATATAAACCAGTGAGAAATTACTAATAAACTACAATAAATAGTTTGTTCCCCGAGACTGTTTTTTTTAATACTGTTTTTTTGATTACAGTATTATAATCAATGAAAGGGATGGTAATTCTTTAATATTGTTATCCTTTGTTCTATACACACACAATGTAACATAAATCGTGAAAAATAATTGTGCGCGCTATCTCAGATATACAAATGCCTCGAAATTTGTCATAAACCGACCACAATACTGTCACTAAAAGAAGGAATGTTAATAATACTAATGTGAAACTTAGGTCCACCCAAGCTGTGCAACGGAACCAGACTGACTATAAAAACATCGTAGGAACAATCATAAGCATAAGTGATAAGTTTGAAGTAGAAATAGTCCCAAGAATATCAACGATATCATCTAGTAAAAAAGGCAGACACCAACCAGTACAATAGATATAACATAATGCAATAAGAAATCATTAAAAGAGTTACTGTATTATTAAGACTATACAATTATTTGTAATGGAACGTTATATTGCTAAACATGACATTATACAGAAGAACATCAATTTTAACATAAGAAAATAAGATCCTTATATATAATTCTGTAAGACCAAATTTTACCAGGAAATTGTGGACGTCTAGAAAATATGAGTAGGCTAATTAATGTAATTTTCATGTTTTATTTTAAACTGTTGATTAAGAATTATAGACCACGATGGGGGATCAATAGTAAACACTCCATTGTAAATAGATACAACAATAAACATTAAGGTGTATGATAAACATTTAAAA